CAGCTCACAGCAACCTCCAACTCCTGGGCTCAAGCGAGTCTCCTGCCTCTGCCTCCCAAGTAGCTGGGACCATAGGCGCCCACCACAACGCCTGGCCATTTTTTGGTTGCAGCCGTCATTGTTGTTTGGCAGCCCGGGCTGGATTCGAACCCTCCACCTTGGGTGTACGGGGCTGGCACCTTAGCCACTTGAGCCACAGGCGCTGAGCCTCAAGGCTGGTCTTGAACTTGTGAGCTCAAGCAATCCACCCGCCTCGGCCTCCCAGAGTGCTAGGATTACAGGCATTAGTCACCACGCCTGGCCTAAAATAGAAAAACTTTTGAGGTAATTTTATATTTACATCTTTGATAGATACACTTTCTCCATAAGCATTTGGTGAGAATGGCCCCCTACCCCATTTTGAACATATTTTGCACATTTGAACAGCCCATGTTTAATGGGAAGAGGGCTAAAGAGTGGGATGAGGGGAGTGGAGTTTTGAAATGGTATGGCTGCTGCTTCTGTGGTTTTCCTTTTACAATCACTCCCTGCCAAGCAAGGCAGTAAACTTAGTATTGGCCACCCAGGACTAATTCCCAGTGCCGTAGGAGTTAGTGGTATGAATGAGCTGCCTACTGAGAACTGCTTCCTGTTTCTGAACATTGTACCTGTTGAGAGAAGTTGCCCAGTCGGTTTGTCTTCTGACCTAGATCTGAAGGATGTCTAACCCATGATTCTTTTCTTCATTCAGCTTTTGAGTCCCAAGAGTTAATGCGCTCAGCCTTTGAGTCCCACTTGTACAGAGGGTCTACCAGTGGGGACCTGGGCCAGCAATGTTCCTGCATCAAGTTGAGCTGGTGCATCTCACCAGCACTGCTCTGAAAAGCCAGTGGAAAATGAACGCATGATGAGCACATAAGTTATTTGGCTCCAAAAAAATAGGCATAGCTATGTACTTTTTAATCACTGTTTTGTTAAGATGTTAGAATCAGTATTATTGCCTTTTGGTTGCAGTGTTTTATTTAATGAATGAATTAATTTTGAGATAGAGTCTGACTGTTGCCCCAGGCTAGAGTAACCTCAAATTCCTGGACTCTAGCGATCCTCTTGCCTTAGTCACCTGAGTAACTGGGACTACAGGTGTGTGTCACCACACCTGGCTATTTTTTTCCTATTTTTAGTAGAGATAGGAGTCTCTGCTACTGCTCAGGCTGGTCTCAATCTCCTGAGCTCAAATAATCCACCTGCCTCAACCTCCCAGAATCCTTGCCTGAGCCATGGCAAGTAGGCATAAGCAGTCTCATATTTGAAGAACAGTTGTATTTTTACTTAATCTAACTTA